GACAAAGAAACACACTTTGAAATCAATTAGACGACGCTGAGAAAATTGGCTTGTTATAGAAATGTAAAAATACTTGGAAAGGAAGAGTTGGTGTTTAGAACTACAATAAAAGATATTGTAAATAAAAAAAGAGTTTTCAGTCACTAAAAAATATGGTTGTAATTTTTTACTTAATTGTGATAGTTATGGTTTGAATATTGTATTTTTTTAATTAAATATTTTATTTTATTTTGCTTATTGAGTTTTTTTTTAATTGATTTTTTAACGGAAGACGACATTTGAATCTGACATCCTTTTACATCTTGGGACAAGAGAAATGTTGTCTTATTAAGATTCTGATCCAATGATCTTTTCAAAACAAAACAATTATACTATCGCATTTAAACTACAAAAAAGTATTCAGGGTGGATCGTTATTCATATACTATTTTACATTGAATATTCTTCTTAATTGGATATTATTTTAAAATTTAGTTCTATAATTGTTGTAGTTTGATTTGGATAATGTATTATTAAATTGACGACTGTATTTTTAAATTTGTAAGACGAATTTTAAGGAAAATAAATAAAATCATATTTATGTTTTTCCCAAAATAAATAAAATTGATGATTGTAATTTTAAATTTCGAAAATGAATTTTAAGGAAAATATATAAAATCATATTAATGTTTTTTTCCCAAAAATAAATGAAATCATCTTATAAACAATCAACTCGAAGGAGACATTGAACTTGACCTTTTTTAACATCTTAGGCCCAACGCAGAATTTCCTCTCAATTCTTTTTAGTAAAAATTAGGTAAATGACATAGTATAAGAAAGAAATTACTTCCTTTCCCTACTCTTTCATTAATTACCAAAAATTCCTTTTTTTAGTGTTTTTCGGATACATAATATTGCAGTGTGGATACTTAATATAGCAGCGCGGATACTTTAATTAATAACAGGCGGATACTTAAATTATTAAGTTGTTAGCAACGCGGATACTTAATTAATGGGCGGATGCATAATACAGCAGCGCGGATACTTTAATTAATAACGGGCGGATACTTAAATTATTAAGTTGTTAGTAGCACGGATACTTAATTAATGGGCGGATGCATAATATAGCAGCGCGGATACTTTAATTAATAACGGGCGGATACTTAAACTAATAAAGTATCCGGTTAAGTTGAATTGGGGGAAATAAGGGATTTTTGTATTTTAGTAAAAGAGTAGGGAAATATTGAGAATAGGCAAAGAAGTGTTGTGTATTTAAGTAATTTTTCCTTCTTTTTATATGTCTCTTCAAAAAAAAGTGTAAAGATATTATAACAGAAAGAACATTTAGCGGTAATAATTATGAATATTAACAAAGAGTATTAAAATCTTTACGGTCATTAGTTAATTAATATTTAGCTTTCGGGATGGTAAATTTTCCATATCTATTTATCATTCATCGTTGGATCAACTGATTGAGGATATACGGAAACTAGATTGTCTTTTAAGGCCTCATTTGTTTTCATTAAGATTAAGACCTCTAAATCTGAATACAAGTCTGAATATTAAGATATGCATTAAGAGCTAGGTATCTAGATCTGAATACACATCTATATATTAAGCTGTGGTCTCCAAATCTGAACACTGAATGATTATTGTTTGTTTTTAATATCTGAATGTGCATATGAAATCAAACATTATATTAATAAATTGTTATAAAAATTCATTTCAACAAAAAATATTACTTTTTGACTAAAAAAAAAATCATAATCATCAAGCATAACATAAAAAAAAATCACGAATAAAAAATATTTTATAGGCACAATATAATATCAAAAAGTTCAATAAGTATGATAGATACTAGTCGAAAAATAATAAATAAGGTATTACATTATCAACGCCTAACATATATTTTGGCTAATTAGAAAAACTAAAGAATTCTTATCTTTTTTTCAATAACCTTAATCCAATTCTTTAACTTGTGAACCTCTAACGTCATTCATGCTTTTTTGTAGCGGACACTTTCACAAAATATACTAACACATGTACTGTATAATGATTCTTCCCATCCAAGTTCATCTAATTTTTCCATATATTCTTCAAATGTAGGTGCACTATTTTTTTAATCAATAACTCCAGGGCAGTAATCATCTTTTCATCAATTTTCAATTCAGACGAATAAGTTTTTTTTTCTTCCCCAAAACTTTTTTTTTCCAGTTGAAATTGGAGATTGGGATGTAGAATTATTAGGAGCTTCATTATTTTTGTCACCAACTAGTTCAACTACAATAATATATCAAAGAGTCTCAATAAAATTATTGGCCTAAGACAAAATTCTAACAAGAGACCTCAAATATGTATACATAGTTATTATTTTTAATTATGAATAGTACTTTTTCACTCAAAAACCTTGAGAACATCAATACACTAAAAATATTATTGCAAGAAGTGTTCTTGACAAACATCAATACACCCTAAGAAAATTATTAATATAAAAAAAAATACTTGTAAAGATTATGAAAACTTACCAGTTCAAGAGGGAAAAAATGGTGTTTGATTGAGAAAAAGAGAGGAAGAAAGTTTGTAGTTGAGAGAGCAAAAGTCACATAGACCGAGAGAGGCGATACAATATTATTTTATAACTTATTAAATAAGTCCGAATGGTGTAAAGAATCTCTTGCAGATCTGATTCGTTCAGATCTTTTTAGGTCCACTAACAGGCATTTTGAAAAAAGAAACAAATTGACTTAATGAGTTAAATCTGAATCATTCAGATTCAAACCTAAAAATCAAACGCACTTAATGGGCTGAATCTGAATGATTAAGATTCAGACCTCCATTAAGTGCAAACAAATGAGGCCTAAGTCTTGAACCACAATATTGCAATGTCTATTATTATTGTGATGGACTAGCTATTATCAGGGTTTATGGAGATTTGTTGAATCGAACTCACTATTACTATGGAATAATCGCACGGAAAAATTAATTGTACTTCCCTTTCCAAAACTTTCAGTGAAGAGATTTTTTTTTTCAGTTTAATTTGAAATGAGTTTTGATTCAACTAGTGGTGATTATAAGATCTTCAAGATTCCCCGGGACAGAAATAAAGATCACAAAGTATGTATTGTAAAGATATGACACCTGAGCCTAACTCTACCCCATAAACTAGCTCATGAGGGGAAGATTGTTCAATTCCATATAAGCAGACCACCAGTCCATTTCTCAACCAATGTGGAACTTTTACCCACTCTAACACCCCCTTCACACCTAGGCCAACTGGAGTGTGGATCAAGAGCCCAAACGGGAATGAACTTGGCTCTGATATCACGTAAAGATATGACACCTAAGCTCAATTCAACCCCAAAAGCTAGTTCATGAGGAAAAAATTGTCCAAGTCCATATAAGCATACCATTAGTCAATTTCCCAAACAATATAGAACTTTTACTCACTCTAATATATATCTAGTGAAATTCTCACATTGAAAATTAGTTCTCATGATCAACATCATTGTGGCTATCACAATATGCTGCTTGTTATGCATTCATTGACATTTATACATGGGGCATTTCATTGGCATGCTACTTCAAGAAACTATTTTGTGGTTTTATTTACTATTTTCTGTAAAATGTTTGGAGAGATAAAATTGTCGGATCAAATATATTTACTTGTGGAACATTGATATTGACATTTCAGAATTGGAAGAAATGTTTTGTGCTTATTCTAATGTGTATCATCAGGAGAAGTGTACTTTTAAGTTATTGGTGATGAAAGATTATGGTGTCTTGTATCTTGGAATGTAATATTTTTCATAACAGATCTCGATATTATTACACTCATACTATTGGCAAATGAGAAAGTGTTATCCTGGTGCATACATCATCGACACATGGACAATGCATATTGGAGACAGAGAGGACCCTTTACCTTATTGTCTCGGGGTCTCAGTCAGAATGAATTCGCTTTTATAGAAAACTCAATCTCTTCAAAATTATTTATTTGATATTTATTTATATATGATCGAGATATTTTTTTCATTTACTGAGTAAAATATTACAATATTTGATTGTTATTAATTTATCTATCTTTTAGATTAATTCAAATTGTATTTACCATTCATGTTCTCTGGGAAAGAACATGAGTCATTTCTTTTATTATTATTAGAGAAGTGTTAGGATTTGAATATTCTAGTTTTTACTTAAATATTATAGTACTTTTGGTTTGAATATTGTAGTTTTTAATTAAATATTTTATTTTATTTTATTTTATTTTACTTATTGAGTTTATATATTTTATTTAATTTTTTGACAACCAATTGAAAGGCGCCTTGCCTCCTTTTACATCTTGGGACAAGAGAAATGTTGTCCTATTAAGATTCTGATCCAATTATCTTTTCGAAACAAAATAACTATACTATTACATTTAAACTACAAAAAAATATTTAAGGTGGATTGTTGTTTATATACTATAATTTTATATTGAATATTCTTCTTAATTGGATATTATTTTTAAATTTAGTTCTATAAATGTAGTAGTTTGATTTGGATAATGTATTATTAAATTGACGACAGTAGTTTTAAATTTTGAAGACAAACCTTATGGAAAGTAAATCAAACCATATTTATATTTTTTCCCAAAATTTAATAAAATTGATAATTTTTTAAGGAAAATAAATAAAATCATATTTATGGTTTTCCCAAAAATAAATAAAATCATCTTATAAACAATCAATTAAAAGGGGACATTGAACCTGGCCTCTTTTTACATCTTAGGACAAGAGAAATCATGTCCTATATATATATATATATATATATATATATATATATATATATATATATATATATATATATTAGTTGGATATTAATTGGATTACTAAATAAAATCATATTTATGTTTTTTCCAAAATAAATAAAATCATATTTATGTTTTTCCCCAAAATTAATAAAATCATCTTATAAATAAGCCCAACATTCATCCTAGTAGAATACAAGAAGAAAAACTCTAGCATTCAAATTAAAACTCTAAAAATGGCAAATTGTCAACAAAAGAACAAATCAAGTCTTTCTAAACAAGTTCCTGAAGGTATATATCTATTTCTTTATGTTGCGTGTATTAATTTCTTAACAACGATAGTATGTTGAGTCAGTTTCATACGATCTTAGATGCAGGACAAAGAATTGTGGAGTTGTCAGAAAAAGAAGAGTTGATGAATATTGTTAATATGAATCAGGTAAGTTCATTTAGTGGATATTTGTTGATTATATGTTGCTCTCTCTTGTTACAACTCCAAGGGCTAGGAATTTTTCTCCACTTGAAATGTTCTAAATATTGTTACTCCATTTGTTTGCTAATAGTAGATAGAAGAAATAAATTTTAAAAATCCAACTTATCTTTTCTAAACTCTTGGTTGATTGTATAACATTTTGAATTCTTGAAAAACAAATTTCTGATAGCACATTCTTGTCCTATCTTGGCCATGCAGGTTCATTTTCAAGAAGAAACACTTACGGACATTCTCTGTAGGTTACCTGTGCGGTCTCTTCTTCGATTTAAATGTGTATCAAAATATTTGAAAACATTGATCGATGACCCGATATTTAAGAAGCAACATCTAAATCGTGCCAAGAATGACCAAAATTCCCAAAACTTTATCTTTTACAAAGGTCCCTCTCTGGATGATGATACATATTCCATATCTTGTTGTCCTTTATCGTCGGATCAACAGGTTGGGGATGTAAGGAAACTGGATTTCCCTTCAAATCTTAAACCAGAATATAGCGATATCTATTATTGTTGTGATGGCTTGGTAATTGTCAAGGTTTATGGACATATTCCACGACGTTACTCACTTTTGCTATGGAATCCCTCCACGGGAGAATCAATTGAACTTCCCACTTCAGAATTTTCAGTGGAGGCATTTTGTTGTTATGGAATGAGTTTTGATTCAACTAATGATGATTATAAGATCCTTAGGATTCCCAGTGCCTGGAGTAAACATTGCAGAGATGTACCTGGTGAAATTCTCTCGCTAAAAAGTGGTTATTGGAGAAAAATAGATGCATGTCCTCTTAATAACATTCACGATATGTTTTATGGTATCCATTCCTTGGCAATTATACACGGGGCATTTCATTGGGTTGCTATGTCATATAATGCTTGTTTTGTGGTTTCATTTAATATTTCCCATGAAGTGTTTGGAGAGATCATACCATTGCCAAAGAAAATGTGGTTGTACAACTATAATATTGGTGTTTTGGAATTGGGAGACATGCTTTGTGCTTATACTATCGAATATTATCAACGGAAGCGTACTTTTAAGTTATGGATATTGAAAGATTATGGTCTCAAGGACTCTTGGAATGAAGTTATATCTATAGTAGATCCTAATATTATTATAGCCTCCCCGAAATATAGATTTGCAGATGGTGAAGTGTTAATCTGGTGCAAACATTTTGAAGGTGAGGAAAATTCATTTAGGACACAAAAAGGACCTTTTACATTATTGCCTCGAGGTTACATTCGGAATGGATTCACTTTCACAGAGAGCTTGATCTCTCCAAGGTTACTTATAACTTAGTATTTGCTTATGTATGATTGAAACATTTCCCATTTTTCGGTTATCATATTACAATCTCTTGTTTTTATTAGTTTATCTATCGATTGCATATCTTTTTGTTTCAAATAATATTTATCAAAAGTTTATTTATTTCATTTTCCTAGGTAAAGTTCATTTCATTTTCAAATTATAATCAACTCAAAATATTTGATGTATACTAAATTTACTTAGGTCTGATGCTTTTATAATAAAATGGTCTCATCATATATTTATAGGCCAATTAACGAATCGAAAGCTTCTAATATTATTCCCTTTTTATTATTATATACACAAAATTCACTAACTAAAATTTTCTATTTTAACAATCTCTTATCACTATTATATCAAGTAAAAATTAAAGCCAATTTTCTTTTTCGAAGTATAGTATCACTTAGTTCAGCTTCATTGAAATTTTTCTAATTGTAGTTTCTCAATTAAATTATTAATATGGTCAATCACGAGAAATGATATAAAAAAAATGTGACTTTGAATGAGATCTCACGTAAATATTTTTATTATCTATCTATCTATATAAAAGAAATAAATAGCCCTGGCTACTTTCACACATATAACATAGAAATACACATTTAATTTTTCATTGATTGTCATCACTGTTTAATCTAACTTTAGGAAAAAAAATATGTAAAGAATTTTGTAATGATAATAAAATCGACTTTGTGTAGTTAGATAAAGCATGTGATAGGCCAAATGCAGAATTTTCTGTCAATTCTTTTATATATCTCTTAAAAAAAGTGTTAAAAGATATTATAACAAAAATAATTTTTGGCGGTAATAAATATGAATATTAACAAAGAGTGTTAAAGTCATTACGGCCATTGGTTAATTAATATTCAGCCCTCGAGATGGTATATTTTCCATATCTATTTATCATTTATCGTTGGATCAACTGGTTGAGGATATTGTACAGAAACCAGATTGCCTTTTAAGTTTGAACCACGATATTGCAATGTCTATTATTATTGTGATGGACTGGGTATTATTAGGGTTTATGTTGATTTTTTGAACCAAACTCACTTTTACAATGGAATAACTGCACGGGAAAATTAATTGTACTTCCCATTCCAAAATTTTCAGTGAAGAGATAATATATTTTTTTTAATTTGAGAATGAGTTTTGATTCAAGTAGTGGTGATTATAAGATCCTCAAGATTCCCCAGGACAGAAATAAAGGTCCCAAAGTACGTATTGTAACGATATGGCATCTGAGCCTAACTCTACCTCAAAAGTTAGCTCATGAGGGGAGAATTGTTCAAGTACATATGAGTAGACCACCAGTCTATTTCCCAATTAATGTGGAACTTTTACCCACTCTAACACCCCCATCACGCCCAGGCCAACTGGAGTGTGGACCAGGAGCCCAAACGAAAATAAACCTAGTTCTAATATCATAGAAAGAATACGGCACCCGAATCTAACTCAACCCCAAAAGCTAATTCATGAGGAAAGGATTGTCCAAATCCATATAAGCATACCATCGGTCCATTCCTCAACCAATATAGTACTTTTACCCACTCTAATACGTATCTAGTGAAATTCTCATGTTGAAAAGTGGTTCTCGGAGAAATATTGATCAACATCACTGTGGCTATCACAATATGGTGCTTGTTATGCATTCATTGACATTTATACATGGGGCATTTCATTGGCTTGCTACTTCAAGAAACTATTTTGTGGTTTTATTTAATATTTCCTATAAAATGTATGGAGAGATACAATTGTCGGATCAAATATTTTTGCTTGAGCAACATTGATATTGGTATTTCAAAATTGGAAGGAATGCTTTGTTCTTATTCTAATGTGTATCATCACGGGAAACACACTTCTAAGTTATGGGTGATGAAAGATTATGGTGTCAAGGAATCTTAGGATGCTATATTTTTCATAGCATATCTCGATATTATTACACTCGTACTATTTGCAAATGGGAAAGTGTTATCCTAGTGCATACATCATCAACACATGGACAATGCATATTGGAGACAGAGAGGACCCGTTACCTTATTGCCTCGGAGTCTCAGTCAGAATGTATTCGCTTTTACAGAAAGCTCAATCTCTCCAAAATTACTTATTTGATATTTATTTATGTATGATCGAGACATTTTTTTTTTCATTTTCTAAGTATAATATTACAATATTTGATTGTTATTAATTTATTTATCTTTTAGATTAATTCAAATTGTATTTACAATAGCTTTCTTATTTCATATCTCTAGGAAAGAACATGAGTCATTTATTTTATTAGAGAAGTGTTAGGATTTGAATATTCTAGTTTTTATTTAAATATTTTATTTTAGTCTGCTTATTAAGTTTATTTTTTATAATTAGTTTTTTAACAACCAGAAAGGGGACATTTGAACTTGACCTCCTTTTACATCTTGGAACAAGAGAAATGTTATCCTATTAAGATTTTGATCCAATTATTTTTTCAAAACAAAACAACTATATTACATTTAAACTACAGAAAAGTATTCAAGGTGGATCGTTATTTATATACTATAAATTTTACATTGAATATTCTTCTTAGTTGGATATTATTTTTAAATTTAATTCTATAAATGTTGTAGTTTGATTTGGATAATGTATTATTGAATTGATGACTGTAGTTTTAAATTTTGAAGACCAACCTTATGGAAAGTAAATCAAACAATATTTATGTTTTTTTTCCAAAAATAAATAAAATTGATAATTTTTTAAGGAAAATAAATAAAGTCATATTTATGTTTTTCACAAAAATAAATAAAATCATCTTATAAACAACCAATTGAAAGGGGGTTTTGAACCTGGCCTCTTTTTACATCTTAGGACAAGAGAAATCATGTCCTGTTAAGACATTTTAGTTGGATATTAATTGGATAACTAAATAAAATCATATTTATGTTTTTCCCCAAAATTAATAAAATCATCTTATAAATAAGCCCAACATTCATCCTAGTAGTATACAAGAAGAAAAACTCTAGCATTCAAATTAAAACTCTAAAAATGTCAAATTGTCAAGAAAAGAACAAATCAGTTCTTTCTAATCAAATTTCTGAAGGTATATATATCTATTTCTTTCTGTTGAGTGTATTAATTTCTTAATAACGATAATTTCTTGAGTCAGTTTCATACGATCTTAGATGCAGGACAAAGAGTTGTGGAGTTGTCAGAAAAAACAAAATTAATGAAAATTATTGATATGAATCAGGTAAGTTCTCCACTTGAAATTTTCTAAATATTGTTACTCCATTAGTTTGCTAGTAGTAGATAGAAGAAATAAAATAAAAAATCTAGTTAATCTTTTCTAAACTCTTGGTTGATCATATAACATTTGAATTCTTGGAAAACAAGTTTTTGATAGCACATTTTTGTCCTATCTTTGCCATGCAGGTTCATTTTCAAGAAGAAACACTAACGGACATTCTCAGCAGGTTACCAGTGCGATCTCTTCTTCGATTCAAGTGTGTATCAAAATATTTGAAAACGTTGATTGATGACCCGATATTTAGGAAGCAACATCTTAATCGTGCAAAGAATGACCAAAATTCCCAAAAGTTTCTCTTTTACACATGTCTCCTTTTGGAAGATAGATGTTCCATATCTTGTTATCCTCTATCGTCGGATCAACAGGTTGGGGTACGGGAACTGGATTTCCCTTCAAATCTTAAACCACAATATTGTGATGTCTATTGTTGTTGCGATGGTTTGGTAATTATCAAGGTTTATGAAAATAATCCAGGACGTTACTCATTTTTGCTATGGAACCCCTCCACTGGAGAATCAATTGAACTTCCCACTTCAAAATTTTCATCAGTGGAGGAATATTCTACTTGTTATGGAATGAGTTTTGACTCGGCTAATGATGATTATAAGATCCTTAGGATTCCCAAAGGATGGAACGAATATTGCAGAGATGTACCTGGTGAAATTCTCTCGCTAAAAAGTGGTTATTGGAGAAAAATAGATGCATATCCTCATAAAATTCTCAGTAGGTTGTATGGTATCCATTCTTTGACAATTATACACGGGGCATTTCATTGGGTTGCTATGTCACGTGATACTTGTTTTGTGGTTTCATTTAATATTTCCCATGAAGTGTTTGGAGAGATCATACCATTGCCAGAGAAAATGTGGTTGGCCAACGGTCATATTGGCGTTTCGGAATTGGGAGGCATGCTTTGTGCTTATACTAACGGGTATTATCAAAGGAAGCGTACTTTTAAGTTATGGGTGTTGAAAGATTATGGTCTCAAGGACTCTTGGAATGAAGTAATATCTATAGTAGATCCTGATATTATTATAGCCTCCCCGAAATATAAATTTCCAGATGGTGAAGTGTTAATCTGGTGCGAACATTTTGAAGGCGAGGAAGGCGAGGGAAATTCATTTAGGACACAAAGAGGACCTTTTACATTATTGCCTCGAGGTAACTTTCAGAATGGATTCGCTTTCACAGAGAGCTTGATCTCTCCAAGGTTACTTATAACCTAGTATTTGCTTATGTATGATTGAAACATTTTCCCATTTTTCGATTATCATATTACAATCTCTTGTTTTCATTAGTTTATTTATCGATTGCATTTCTTTTTGTTTCAAATAATATTTATCAAAAGTTTATTTATTTCATGTTCCTAGGAAAAGATTATTTCATTTTCAAATTATAATCAACTCAAAAGATCAATTACTATCAACTAGTTGTGGCAGTGTGTCTTTTAATCATGTATAGTAAATTTACCTAGGTCTGATGCTTTTATAATAAAAATGGTCTCATTATATATTTATAAGCCAATTAACGAATCAAAAGCTTCTAATATTATTCCCTTTTTATTATTAGATACACATAATTTACTAACTAAGTAAAAACTATTTTATATCTTTAAAGTTTTATCCGATTCCTTTTTCTTAAATTGCTTGAATCTTCTCTTAAAATATCTCTCCAAATAGGAATATCATTTTTGTAGATGATTTAACGAAGCATGCCACAT